TCCATCCATCCATCCATCCATCCATCCATCCATCCATCCATCCATCCATCCATCCATCCATCCATCCATCCATCCATCTGACCGACCATCCATCCATCCATCCAACTCAACTCAACTTATCCACCAGCCATTTTTTTACAACCCGGTTGAAACGTTCCAGCAGTTACTCCCAACATTTTGAGCAGCCAGCCACGTCCCAGCCGGCGGCTTACTTGTGCCGTGGACCTCCTCGCCAGTGAAGCGAATGTTGAAGGCGTAAGTGGGGTCTCCTCCACTGGCCAACTTCACACAGAGCTGCGAGGACGGGATGCAAGCCAGTTGCCGGGCGGCCTGGCAGAAGTAGGAATTTTCTGAAGAGCGAATCTCTCCTGCGGGAGAAGAGCGGAAAGAGAAGGCTGGTTGAGAACGGCCATCGGCGGCTGTGAAGTTCTGACGACCCCCACCCGGCCCAGGAGGAAGAGAGCAGAAGGGGGGGGGGCTTCCCCTGAAGTACCCACCTCCCACTATTTCGAGGGGGTCCAGGGTGATCTCTGGGGCTGCGTGGTCAGCCGTCCTCTGCACTGTGGCATTGAGCACGCGGTTCAAGACCGTTACTTTCGTGTCGTAAAAAATCAGCCCTGAAGGAAGAGAGCAAAGATCGGAGTCCTTCCGAGAGGGACCCCCCTCCCCACCCGGAAGACACGAGCCGTTTGCCCCCAGACAACCCTTCCCCCTCCGAGACTATTTCGACCCCTCGGATTCTGTGTTGGGGGGCCTGTCGATTAGCCAACCCGGAGCAAAGCAAAGGAAGTTTGTTATTTTTCATTTGCTTTCCTTGACCCCTCCATAAAATTATTCTGCCTTTTTGCAACGTTGGCTTCCTTTATAAAAGGGAATATTTGCATCCTCTGCTTCCTTTCCAGAATCCACATCGTAGCAGGTGGGTAAAAACTAAACCCAAACTTCATCTCTGTCTAAAGGCAACTAAAATGAAATTAAACTAATCTAATCTAATCTATATAGAGCCGAGGTGGCGCAGTGGTTAGGGTGCAGCACTGCAGGCCACTTCAGCTGACTGCTATCTGCAGTTCAGCGGTTCAAATCTCACCGGCTCA